CTGCCACTGGAATCAGCAGCCCTCAGATCCCGGCAAGCAGCCGCTGCTGTCTGCATCCAGCTCTGCTTGCCTGAGTGCAGAGAGCAGCCGGATCCGGGAATCTCCAGTTTTCAGCTCCAGCTTGGCCAATGGCGCCACCTCGTGACTCAGCTTGGGCCTGGCTGAGCTAATGCAAGTTGTAGGGCAGTCGTATGCCACCGCGTTAGACTAGGGCACTTCTCACGGATCTTGGCGCATCCCTCGGACACTATCAGCTGCTTGTTTTCATTCATTTAACGTTGACTACATAGATGTAAGAGAACATTTCTTCTGCTGCAGAGTCACAACGGTCACAAGAGGCCAAACTATTTTTACACTTCGTTCCTTTGTGAAATCGATGGGTAAAGCCTGGGAATGATGTCTACGCACTTCGCAGCGCTGACATTGTGTGGCACCCTGGGGCACCCTTGAGATGGTTTTTAGGCACACCAGGGTGCCACTACACCTTGATACAGAATCACCGGTGCAGGGGCATCCGCTGCCTAGAATAAAACGTTCCGTGGTGCCTCCCCTTGGCGTTTGCTGTCCCGATGTCTTACAACCAGGTCAATGCGGATTAGTCGAGACTTAAATATTAAGAGAAAACACAGGGATCTGTGATTCCTTCTCAACACCTCCACTCCCCCCGGCCCGGTGCCTCAGTGCTCCCCAGCTGCCTGTGTGAAAGGAGCCCTCACCTGTGCCACCGCCGGCCCTTCGTCCACGACGTTTGCCATCTCCTGGGAAGGCCGCGCCCCCGTCGGGACCTCCCGGCCATCGGGTTGCTCTGCGGGGCCTCTGGGAAGCAAGGGCCGGACCAAGTGGAACTCGCTGTTGACGGACCCAGTGGTTAAGCATACGTTGTACTTGAACTTCCCGGACAGCGATCCGGAGCCGACGTCGCCACCTGCCGCGGGGAAGGAGGGTGGCGCGGGGCAGGCTCACACCGCAGGCAGGTAGCGCTCCTCCGCGCGCCGCGACCGATGGAGCTTGACAACAACTAAGGACACGACAGCGGCGAGGAAAAGAAATGAAATGGACGCCAAGGAGATGACAAGGTACACGGTGACGGTGCCGTCCGGCTCTTGCTCCTGTCCCGCCGGGGCGTCCCCGAGTCGCACGTGCCCACCGGAAAAGCCGTCCACTAGCAGCTCGTGCAGCATCGCCGTGCTGGACTGCGGCGGCTTCCTGTTGTCCTCCGCGACGATCACAAGTGTTTGCCTGGAGGGGTCCCGCTCTGTCAGCGGCCGGCGGTGCCTGCCTTCGCCGCTGTGCAGCGCCACGGCGAAGAGCCCCGGCTCGCTGGCCTTGAGCAGCTCGTACGACAGCCAGGCGTTCTGCCCCGCGTCCGCGTCCACCGCCACCACCTTGGTCACCAGGTAGCCCGGCTCGGCCTAGCGCGGCGCCATCTCGCGACTAGGATTATGCCACCATCTTGGCGGCCTGGTGTGGGGAATGCTTTCCTCGGTCAAAAAGCCGCGGGTCTAAAAAATTCTGAAAAACAGAGCTCATAATTTCTTTCTACAGATTCCCCTTTCCTTGAAAAGAACACGTGCGAGTGGAATGCGTGTTTGACAGGCTTTGGTTTTAGACAGAGGCTCTGCAGCAGGGGTGGGCAAAATGCGGCCCGTGGGCCGATGCGACCCGCCAGGCCATTCTAGCCGGCCTGCGGTGCCCCTAAAACATTTAGACAAGCAATATTTATCTGCCCTGGCTGCCTGTCATGCAGCCCTCGATGGCTTGCCAAAACTCAGTAAGCGGCCCTCCACCCGAAATAATTGCCCGCCCCTGCTCTACAGTGTCTGAAAAATGTTATCGGTGAAAATCACCAACCTCAAACGGTCTCTTGTCTCCAGTTCAATGTTAAACTTGACTCCCTAATTCAATTCACCCTTTCCTTGCAGTAAATTCGCACCTTCCAGCTCACCATCATTAATTATGTTAGTGAACGATTCTCTCCAGAGATCTGTATTATTTGGATGTAAAAAAATCATGATTGTCATCATCATCTCATGAACAACAAAAACAACAACCCGGTATTATAGAAATTATAGTTCCCTTCCCTCTACAGTGCATTCAGTACGTGCCTGCGCTATAGGGGAAACTGTTTTGTAGGTAAAGAGCAGTTTGTATTCCTAGTCGATCGACTATACAATCCAAGTCTTCAACGTGTAAATGAGAGCATAGAAATAATCTTTCAAGGACAATACTGGAAACTCCGGACCTAAATACTGACAGTAATATCCTGATGGGATTTCTCCTTCTGTACCGCTGTCCTTTAGGCTTCCCTTTAATAAATCACTGAGAGTGGAACTGTATAAACTGGTTAGTGATAGCTACCAGAAACATAGAGAACAAAAGCAGTTGTTTCTTTCTAGGAGACAGTAGCTCGTAAAAAACATCAAGGCGGCGATCAAATGGACTGACTCCACAGGCTTCGATTTCCTTCTCCTGAAGTGTAATGAAACGATAGTACTCTCTGATCAGCTTTTCAACCTCCGAGGGAAGATGAGAAAGAGGATGCTCAGTCTGATAGGAGCTGATGGGTCGTAGGAGACCTAGGCAACAGACCTATAATGAGCACATGGGCATAAAGGAATGCAGAATAATGGCCTTAGAAGGACACTGGAGAAAGTGCTGAGCAGTCGCCCTGGAAACATGGTTATGATAGAAGTCAATGACGGGAAAGGTAAAGCCACAGGGAAAAGTAGTCTCATCCATTCTGAAAACTGTAACCAACTAGGATTTTATAGTAATATGTATATTGTGTGTTTGAAACATCCTCTTGAAAAAATTCACCTCTGTTATTGTACACTTCTCCTAAAACACACACTATCAATTGACTGCTATTTCGAAGAAAATCTACAACTTATTAAGTAATTGACTGGATATTGCCAGACATCTCTCATTTTTACCTAAGGCTTTCACGGTAATAATTACGCTGGAAATAAAATGAGGAAACCTGACTTCTTCTCCTCTCTATAAGAAACAGACCCTATTAGAAGGTTCCAAATAATTACTAGCAAAGCGGGCTGGTAATTCCCTTCCAACGTCCCTATACAACGCACCAGTACTCTAAAAAGTAAGGCTGCTTTAAGGAGAAATTAATGCTGTCAGGCACATATCACGTCTGTTGATTGCAGGTGGTTAATGTAATCGAAACATAGTCACTTGTGAAAGAATCAGGCCCTGCGTTCACTATAAAGGAAAGCAGATTTTTGAAAAGGGAAAACACATGAACAACATTCGCCAGTCCAAAAAGATGAGGACCTATTCATAGTGAATGAAGGGCGGAAGAGCCCACCCAACGCTTACCTGGTCGGCGCCTTCCAAGTCGGTGGGCGCATGAGAGTCGGTGAGAAGATCCCGTTCCTTCCCGGAGCCCGTCACGACGCAGCCCCCCTGCTGCGGAGGGCAGGGCACGAGGGGCCTCAGGAACCGGAATTCGCTGCTCCCCGACCCCGTGCTCAAGCACACTTCGTATCGGTAACTCCTGGACAGGGTGCCGGTCCCCGACACATCCACCCAGTCTCTCGGCAAGTTGCCGTCGCCATACAACGTGCCGGGAGCACTGGTGTACTGCTCCCCGCCCCCTCTCCTCCGGCACACCTTGAGCAGGACAAATGTCACGACGGAGAGCAGGAAGAGGAAGGACACGAGGCACAGGGAGACGGTTAGGTACATGGTTAAAGCGCCTGTGTCGGCCCCTTCGGCGGCGGCGGCGGCGGCGGCATCAGCGGACTGCAGGTAGGCGTCGGAAAAGCCGTCCACGAGCAGGATGTTGAGGGTGGCGGAGGAGGACAGGGGCGACTCCCCGCTGTCCCTGACGAGCACAATAAGCCTGTGCTTCACCGTGTCGCGCTCCGTCAGCGGCCGGCTCGTCCTCACTTCGCCGCTGTGCAGCGCCACGGCGAAGAGCCCCGGCTCCGTGGCGCGGAGCAGCTGGTAGGACAGCCAGGCGTTCTGCCCCGCGTCCGCGTCCACCGCCACCACCTTGGTCACCAGGTAGCCCGGCTCGGCCGAGCGCGGCACCAGCTCGCTCCACGCCGCCGTGCTGTTCTGCAGCGGGTGCAGCACGAAGGGCGCGTTGTCGTTCTCGTCCAGCACCACGACGCGCAGCACGGCCTCGGAGCTGAGCGCCGGGGACCCGGCGTCCGTCGCTCTCACGCCCACCTCGAACTCGCGCTCCTCCTCGTAATCCGTCGCCCTGAGCACGTAGATGTCGCCGCTCTCGGGGTTGATGGAGACGGAGGACGCGGCGACGCCCGGGCCGCGCAGGATCGAGTAGGTCACTCGGGCGTTTTGCCCTGCGTCCGTGTCCAGGGCGGTGACGCTGCCAATCAGCAGCTCCGGACTGTTGTTCTCCCGCACGGACATGCTGTAAGCTCGCTGGGTAAATTCCGGAGTGTTGTCATTAACGTCCGATATTTCTAAGGAAATCGTTTCCTGGGCTGTGAGACTGGGTGTCCCCATGTCCATGGTCGTGATCGTTATGTTATATTCCGAGATTCTCTCCCTGTCCAGAGTCGTTTCTGTTCGGAGCTCATAGTAGTTGCTCCTGGCTGGTGTTAGAATGAAAGGCACGTCATCAGGGATGGAGCACACTGTTCGCCCATTGTCTCCAGAATCTCGGTCTCTGACACTGAACAAGGCCACTACTGTCTGGGGTGGAGAGTCCTCGGTTATAGATCTGGTGAGGGTTGTCAGTACCAGCTCTGGGGGGTTGTCATTCACATCCAAAACACCTACGAGGACTCTACAGTGGGCTGACAGACCCCCGCCATCCGTGGCTCTAACTCCCATCTCATACATTTTAGCTTCTTCATAATCCACCCTTCCGACGACTCGTATTTCTCCGGTGACAGAGTTTATTTGGAATAGCCGGTGATGTCTCTCTGATTTTTGTGTGAAGGAATAGCGTACTTCACCCGAGGATCCTTCGTCAGGATCCTTGGCCACTACTCTGACTACCAGGTGGTCCACTGGGCTGTTTTCCAGGAGGTGAGCTTCATACGTTTCTCGGGTAAAGACAGGGATGTTATCGTTGGCATCCAGAACTATGACGCGGACCTGAGCTGTACCGGACCTGGGGGGGGAACCCCCATCGGTCGCTGTTAGTGTTAAACTCATCTCTGGCTTCTCTTCGCGGTCTAGCTGTCTCTGCAGCACGAGCTCTGCGTATTTATCGCCATCCTTTTTCGCCCTGACAACTAAAGAGAAATGGTCATTGAGGCCGAGTGTGTAGTTCTGAAGGCTGTTGCTTCCAACATCTATATCCTGGGCACTTTCCAGAGGGAACCCAGACCCAACAGAGGTGGTTTCCTGGATTTCTAATATAATTTCATTTTCCGGGAACAGGGGGGAGTTATCATTTATGTCATAAATTTCCACTTCCGCTCGAATTAACTGCAAGGGGTTGTCAAAAAATATTTCAAAAAATATTTTGCAGATCTCACTGTGCGGGCAGATTTCCTCCCGGTCAAGCTTCTCCCTTATTGTTAGATCTCCAGTACTTAGATTCAGCCGAAAATACTGTTTACTTCTTTCAGTAATGACTCGGGCTTTACGAGCAGCCATCTCGCTTACTGTCACACCCAAATCCTTTGCAATGTTGGCGACAAAGGAGTCCCTCTCCATTTCTTCGGGTACAGAATAGCGAATTGTCTCGCATCCCACCCGGAAAGCGCACAGAGAGAAAATTAAAAAGACTACTTGCCTTTGGATGGAGCTGCTCCGTAGCCAACGCGCCATTCTCTTAAAGTATTTGCCTAGATTTCCGGCAAATGTCCTTAGTGCCTAATATTACACCTTAATTGCCAGTAATTCTGCTATTAATTGTACATGGAATGAACTTAAAACGTCCCTACACTGTGTCCAGCCGTTCATTCCCAGCCGCTAATATGGCGTTCCTTTCTCCTTGAATGTGAGTGATCCTGCCAGAAAAGCTTATACAGCGAAAGGATCTGCTGGTCTTTGGCCAACAGCGCCACTCAGCGTTTCTACTAAAAATTAAAAAAACCTTTGATCCCAATAAATTGCCTTTGTTTCTGTAGCGTTTTCATTTTGATTAATGGACTAATTGATTAATTGATTGGACTAATGGATTAATTTATTAATTTTGCAATACTTTGAGCAGTGAAGCCGCAGAAATGATATGGAAATATCTCCTCCGTAAATAACATTGTTACTTGAAAATATGATGTTGCTATGCTTACTACTTCTTTAAGCGTATTTCTCAACTAGGAACTTTTTACAGATAATATCATAGCTTGCTATTAATTACTGAATAATAATCAATCCATCCTTGCAAAAAGACATATTACTTATATTGTACATGTTAATCTATTTTCTCTTCACCTCAGCACAAAATTAATTGATACATGGGTTTTAGCATTGGTAGTAAAAATCAGAACAGGCCTGGACCAGTGCGGGAAAGGAGAAGGAAACTAGATGTCCTGAGTTTTCCAGGGAAGACTTCGTAGTTCACCAGTCTGAATTTAAGGAGAAAGCAAATATACCCCTTTTTGCTCAGCACATGCCATTTTTTAACAGTTTGGGGATCACTGTTGGTATGCTTAATAGGGAGAACTGGTCTATATTCTGAAAACAGAAAGATCAGAAGAAATTATCTTGGTGGAAGCCAAAATAAGCCTATTTTTAATACTTATTTCTGATGCACAAGGCCCGTTATTTGAGATTACCAAAACGGAAAGCTGCTTCACCAGTACAGGCTTTGTGAAGGGGATTTTTAAACCTCCCTGCTTGCCATCGGGCACCTCCAGGGAAGGAATCCTGCCTGATCTACACAACAAAGAGCAACTTAGAACAACTCAGAGACACTCTCACAGGGACACTCTCATGGACTCAGAGGGACAGCTTTTCCATCTCCAGCTCCCTCCGTGCAAACATTAATTTTATTTCCTACCTATGGGGACTTTTTACCATCTTTAATTTTACCTTTAATTTGGCTTTGAGCCCGAAAGCTTGCAGAAAAAGAGTTCTTCTTGGGGTTTTTTTTTTGTTTGTTTTTGCGATTTCCTAGTTGGTCTAATAAAAGGTATCATTTTTTAACCAAGAGTTCTAGATTTTGCATTTCTTTTTGTCTCAGACCAACACGGCTACCAAATACATCCTTGAAGGGGATTAAAATTATGTGATTGCCTGTCATAGCAGGGAGCTGGTTATCACCCGGCTCACAAGTGATCTCTTGCTATGATTATTAGTTAACAGTGAGAATGACTTCAACACCGGGCTGGAGTGATTTATATACATTTAGGAAAAGATTTGATACAGGCAACGAAAAAACACAGGAATGTGGCTTCTTTCCAATTTTCTGGACTCAGGGAGCATCCTGAAGTTGGACTCTTTTTCTGAATTATTTGCGTTCATCCTCCGAAAGTTTGACTTTGGGAAGTCTCTTCTACCTGCAGGTAGGCATCGGAAAACACGCCTACCAGGAGTACCTGGATCATCGCTGCTGTGAACCGAGGTGACCTGCCGTTATCTTTACCAAGTATTACCAGTTTCTGCTTCAGGGAGTCTCTCTCTGTTTCGGGCCTCGTGGTCCTTATTTCCCCGGTCTGGGGCCCCACTGTGAAGAGATTCGGTGCCGTAGCCTTCAGCAGGCGGTAGGAAAGCCAGGCGTTTTGGCCAGCGGTTGAGTCCACCGCCACCACCTTGGTGCCAATGTAACCAGGTTCCGCTGACCTAGGAACCAGATCATTAGCAGGGGAGGCGCTGTTCTGCAGAGGGTGCAAGACGAGGGGGGCGTTGTCATTTTCATCACTTAAGAAGAAATCTAGTGTGCGGTTGGTGCTCAAGGAGGGCGAGCCGCCGTCCTCTGCTCTCACTATACAACGGAACTCCCTCATGCGCTCAAAGCCTGCGGGCTGTATACACCTTCCCGTTTTCGGAGTTGAGGACAACGGGAGGCCTCCCACCTTTCCAGGCAATAGCGTGTAGCCGCGTACTTCACTTCGGCATTCTGCTCTTTATCCAGGTCAACAGCGTGCACCTCTCCAATGTGGTTGGGCTGAGTGTTTTCCTGCAGGTACATGACATATGATGACTAATTAAATACAGGCGGCTTATCTTTGACGTCCGATATTTGCACGGCGATAACCAGCTCCGCGCTTACACGTGGATGTCCTAAGCCTCTGGCTGTGATAGTTATGTTATACTCCGGTACCTCCTCTCGGTCCAGGGGGCCTGTGTCACTAGTTCGTAGAAATTATGTAAAATTTTTTTCAGACCGAAAGGGGCGTCATCGTGGATGGCGCAGACCGTCTTGCAATTGTTCCCAGAGTCCCGGTTTCTGACACTGAGCAGTGCCACCACTGTCTCCGGGAAGGAGTCCTCGGGCAGTGGGCTAGTTACGGAAGTAATTGTCACCTCCGGGGAGTTATCATTGACACCTGTCACCTCCACGAGGACCTTGAAGTGAGCAGACAGGCTCCCGGAATCTGTGGCTTGAACGTCCATTTCATGCATCGTTGCTTCTTCATAATAGATCTCCACAAGCGGTAATTTTACCCATTAGCTGGTTTAGCCTGAATAGCCGGAGGACTCTGTCGAGCAACTGGCTGAAGGAGTAGATTATTTCTGCATTCTACCCAAGATCCAGATCAACCTAGTGACCAAAGTGCCGCTCGGGCTGTTTTCCATTTACTTCGCCTGATGGACCGACTGCCCGAACTGAGGAGCCTTGTCGTTGGCATCCAAAACAACCACTCGTACTGTTTGTCCCTATGTCGGAATTATGGGCTTTTTCCAGCCGAAAGCGGGTTCCGGGGTGAGATTGCTCGGTAATGTTTAAGATCAGCGTTTCTTTGGGGAATTTCGGTGAATTGTCATTGATATCCTCAATCTGCACTTTCATCTTGTGGAGCTGTAATGGGTGCTTTAGCACTAATTAGAAATGTAAAGTACAAGGGTCCAGGGGTCCGCACAGCTTCTCCCGGTCTATTTGATCTTTTATCCATACATCTCCCATGCTTAAGACTAGCTGTAGATACTTTCTGCTGCTGTTGTAAGAAATGATCCTGGCTCTACGAGGAAGGATCTACCTTACGTCCCGATCTAGATCCCTTACTATGTTGCCTACAAAAGACCATCTGTCCCTGTCCTCCCGCACCGAATACCGAATGGTATCCGCCACCGACTCGCATGTACAAAGGAACAGAAATCTTGCCTTTTCTTGCTGTGGGTCCCTACTTCGTCAGCCATTTCATAACAACTGTTCCCAGGGATCCGGAATAATTGCTAGCTATACTAGAAAAGAGGCTGCCTTATATGTTTATTAAGATAAAGCTATTTAGTCTTCTCAAACACATAATTATTCCGTTCCTTTTCCTCCGGCTGAGGTCCTTAGAACAATGCAAGGCAGAATATTTGCAACTCCTTTTCTCCAGCACCTTAGCCAATAGCGTCACCACGTGTTGAACCAGCAACTGCAGAAACTGGAATGATTTTGAAAACCACATACATAGAAGATCAAAGCCAATTGTCATTCCCGCTGCAAATTTATACACAATACGTTTCTATATGACATATGCCTTTGATATGGAGATTGTTTACATTCTAAAGATAAAAATCGACATAAAACTATATAAACATGAACCGAAACAGTAACAAATAGTCTTAATTTCTCTAGTTGAGTAGTTCCGTCATACTTTATTTTTATTTATTTTATATAAAAGGGCAACGTTGTTTGTATTAAGGTAGAACAACATGATAGGGTTTCAAATGCATTACTTTTATCTCTGTTCCAAACAGGAGACTTTACTACACCTTCAGCTCTCATGTAAAATATGATTTTTCATTTCTACCTAGGAGAATTTTTACAGTCTATGCTTTCTCCTATGCCTGATGAAGGGTAAGTGTGCCTGAAAGTTTGCATATAAATAAAGTAATTTGTTTGCAAATAACTAGTTGGTCTAATAAAAGATATCACCTCTTCCACGAATTTTAATTCTTTTTACTTTTATCTCTGACACTTTTTCTTCTCTTTTAATGGAAATGTTTTCTAGTTAAATCAAAAGATGGACCCCAGTAAGACGATATTCATGAAGTAAACTTTTAGGAAGGGTCTGAGACACTTACATTAATCTCTGCCCATATTTCCTTTTGGGAAAGGTGCATGAATGTAGATGTAATTATGTATATACAATGACTCAGGAAGCTGCGCGCTGGTAGCAGACAGTGTCCAGAAGTTTCTCTTTTGGTTTTCTTGTTTTGAAAGTTTCCTGACTGTTATTCCCATAAAGGGAGCTAAAAGCAAAAAGTAAATCGTCAAATACACTATTTAATAGATAATGCATAAGGTTGAATTTTTAGGGTGCTATATCTAAATCTTAGATTTGCTATGTCCATTTCTAGAGCTTTTGTGTTATAAAGCTCAAAGGTTATCATAATCAGGACAGAAGCTTGAAAAGAAATGAAGTCACAGTCAAGTTATTAAATACACTGGAATACAGCTCTTCTCTTCTTTCATATATGCATTAATGTATGAGTGTAAAAAAAATCTTTCGCTGTGGAGTCATACTGGTTGGGAAAATCAGTTTCTTGCTGGTTTAGAAAAAGTCAGAAGTATCTGCCTATACATAGATGTCTTTGGATGGGAACGGACAAAGGAAGTCCATTCCCACATGGAGAAAGGGCAGCAAAAGGGCTGGGAAGACCTCTTGGCTAAACAGGGAAATCACGGTCCTTCTTAGAAAGAAGAAAGAGGCATACAAACAATGGAAGCTGGGGACATGCCCCAAGCAGGACTATACAACAACCACCCGCACTTGTAGCGAGACAAATTAGAAAGGCTGAACTTAGATTAGCAACGGGAATCAAGGACAACAAAAAGTCCTTCTTTAGGTATGTAAGGAA